AGTAGAGTGCTTTATGAATGTGTGTGTAGTAGAGTACTTTATGAATGTGTGTGTAGTAGAGAGCTGTATGAATGTGTGTAGAGGAGTGCTGAATGAATGTGTGTGTAGTAGAGCTGTATGTATGTGTGTTTAGTAGAGTGCTGTATGAATGTGTGTAGAGGAGTGCTGTATGAATGTGTGTGTAGTAGAGAGCTGTATGAATGTGTGTTTTGTAGAGTGTTGTATGAATGTGTGTGTAATAGAGTGCTGTATGAATGTGTGTGTAGTTGAGTGCTATATGAATGTGTGTTTAGTAGAGTGCTTTATGAATGTGTGTGTAGTAGAGTGCTTTATGAATGTGTGTGTATTAGAGAGTTGTATGAATGTGAGTGTAGTAGAGCGCTGTATGGATGTGTGTTTATTAGAGTGCTGTATGAATATGTGTTTAGTAGAGTGTTGCATGAATCTGTGCGTAGTAGAGCGCTTTATGAGTGTTTGTGTAGAAGAGTGCTGTATGAATGTGTGCGTAAATGATTGCTTCATGAATGTGTGTGTAGTAGAGTGCTGTATAAATGTGTGTGTAGTAGAATGCAAAATGATTGTGTGTAGTAGTAGAGTGTTGCATGCATGTGTGTGTAGTAGAGTGCTTTATGAATGCGTGTGTACTAGTGTTGTATGAATGCGTGTGTAGTAGTGTTGTATGAATGCGTGTGTAGTAGTGTTGTATGAATGCGTGTGTAGTAGTGTTGTATGAATGTTTGTGTAGTAGAATGTTGTATGAATGAGTGTTTGGTAGAGTGCTGTATGAATGTGTTTAGTAGTAGAATGCTGTATGGATGTGTGTAGTAGTAGAGTGCTGTATGAATGTGTGTGTAGTAGAATGCTGTACGAATGTGTGTGTAGTAAAGTGCTGTATGAATGTGTGTGTAGTAGAGAGCTGAATGAATGTGTGTGTAGTAGAGAGCTGAATGAATGTGTGTGTAGTTGAGTGCTGTATAAATGTGTGTGTAGTAGAGTGCTTTATGAATGTGGGTGTAGTAGAGTGCATTATGAATGTGTGTGTAGTAGAGTGCTTTATGAATATGTGTGTAGTAGAGTGCTTTATGAATGTGTGTGTAGTTGAGTGATGTATGAATGTGTGTAGTAGAGAGCTGTATGAATGTGTGTATAGCTGAGTGCTTTATGAATGTGTGTGCAGTAGTGTGTTTCATGAATGTGTGTGTAGTAGAGTGCTTTATGAATGTGTGTGTAGTAGTGTTTTATGAATACGTGCGTAGTAGTGTTGTATGAATGTTTGTGTAGTAGTGTTGTATGAATGTTTGTGTAGTAGAGTGTTGTATGAATGAGTGTTTGGTAGAGTGCTGTATGAATGTGTGTGTAGTAGAGTGCAGTATGAATGTGTGTGTAGTAGAGACCTGAGACCTGTATGAATGCATGTGTAGTAAAGTGCTTTATGAATGCGTGTGTAGTAAAGAGCTGTATGATTGCGAGTGTAGTAGAGAGCTGTATGAATGCGTGTGTAGTAGAGTGCTTTATGAATGTGTGTGTAGTTGAGTGCTTTATAAATGTGTGTAGTAGAGAGCTGTATGGATGTGTGTAGTTGAGTGCTGTATGAATGTGTGTGTAGTAGAGTGCTGAATGAATGTGTGTGTAGTAGAGTGCTGTATGAATGTGTGTGTAGT